ACGACGTACGACGTACGACGAACGAGAGAGAGAGAGAGAGAGAGAGAGAGAGGGACGATTGTATCGGGGCAAAGGATTTCGAGTTTCGCGAACGGCCACCTGTTGATGAGCAGAACTCTCGTTTCCTGAACTTTGCCCCACGGTTCTACCAGCATCACGGTTTACATTCGTCCTCGAGATCGAAACCACCACGCTCCCCTTCGATCGCTGTGGGAGAACGCGAGGCGTGCGAGATGGCTAAGATTATTTCCGCTCTGGCGAATACGAACGGTTGATTTTGAACAGCAAACGACAAAGAAAATCACTCACTCGGTGATCCTGCTGGCGAAGTTGGTCGACGTGTTGATGTCGTACCACGTCATGTCCTGTCTGAGGACAGAGCGAAGGAACATCTTGCGCACCCGGACGATTTGCCTGGATGCCGCGACGTTCAACAAATCGACCGTGAACACGGCGAACACGAATTGGAAGGTGGACAAAGCGGCGGATGAAACGCCGAACGCGACCGAATCGTCGTAAAGCGCCTCCATCCTTTCGTCGTACGTCGAATTGGATCCTCTGCAATCGGAATATTCGTCGATTGTATTTCTCGGCAAAATTCGGAGCTCCATTCATCGTTTCCCGTTCCAAATTAAACATATAAATAAATATATTTATATCGAGGAAAGAAATTACGAAACTGGGTGACGGGCTAAAGTAAACCAGACGCGGCTAAACCATCTTCCCCGCGCGATTCTATTTTTCTCTTCACGCGTGACGCGTCGCGGGAAGAAGCGAGCGCGATTCGTGCTAAAAATATAAGAATTTAGGTAGGTGGGTAGGTATAGGTAGGCGCGTCTGGACACGCCAAGACTTACAAGACCTTTCCTCCACCGAACCACTTCATTATGAGAGTCGGCGTGCTCGTGTGATTCTTCATGTTTCGGTCCACGAGCAACGTGGTGAATTCACCGTATTGAATCGTCGAGATGGGGATGCACAGGCCCGTCAAGGTTCCCATGATCAGTCCGCCCAAGATCAGCATCAACTCCCCGCATGTTGCAAATCGAAACTGCGAACAGAATCCCTCGGATCAGATTCCTCCCGGAGGGGAAGGAGATTTTAATTAATCTCGTCGTGCATCGACGTTATGCTAATTTTCCGAATGACGGGGTTCACCCTGGGCGAGGAATCGGCGAGCAACTTGTCGCGAAATTAGTCGAAAATTTCAGAAACATATTCTCGGGTGATTTAGCGGCGTGCAACTTCTGCCTTTCCGAGAGATTTAACCCGGGCAAAATTAATGCCGGCCTAACGGTGATTAATGGGGGGGGGGGAGGAGGAGGAGGAGGAGATCCGACTGGTTCTAAACAAAAACAAGCCCGATCGATCGCGACAGAATCGCGGTCGTTAAATTTGTCAAAGACAAAGGGGAGTGTGTCCAGGGGAGCCTTCACCCCTCCCCCGAAAGATGGATTTCGTCGTTTCGTACCAGACTGGGCCGCCGATATTTCAACCGTGTCTCGATTGTTTAACAAATGTTGCCGACATCTGCTTTCCTCTTTTTTTTCTTTTTTTTTTTTTCTATTTGGAACACTTACGAGTTTGAAGTAAGGCACTGGCGGTAGGGTTGGCTCCGAAGGCGACTTCTCCTCCTCCTTCGTTTGTGGTGGCACAAATTCACTGTGAACACAAACAACGGCCCCTTTTAACGAACATTTCCGATCCCACGTGCGATTGTTGCATCGATCGTGCTTTCCTCTATTCCGCGGCACGAAAACACGAAACAACGATGGATTGTGCGATTCGTACGAAGAGTAGTTCCGGATGCGAAAACGATTCGATTGAAAGCTCGTTGATCGAGAAAGAACGCGTTCACGATCTTGCGATCTTATTTTCAAACTTTTTTCCTTTTTTTTTTTTTTNTTTTTTTCAATCCAGAAATACTCTTGCGTTACGATATTTTAGGAAATCTTTATGAATAAATTTATACGATTCTTCCAGTCTATTTACGGGCGAGCAGAATATTCTCCCATAATTATTCTCCCATTAATTTCTACAATGATTATCGTAGCAGGAATCCCGTGCTATTC